TAATATGTGAAAAAGAGAATTTCACATATGAAACTGAAATTTCATATATGAAATTACCGTTTCACATGTGAAATTCTAATTTCATATATGAAAATCTTCATTTCATATATGAAAATCTTCATTTCATATATGAAATTCCAATTTCATATATGAACTTTAATGTGAAATTTTTGTAAGGGCAACTATTAAACAGAAGCGGTCTTTGTATCATTGTATGGCGTTATAATACGAAGAAAATATAACCATGCGACTAAAGCCTGTTGCGAGACTAAAGAAAATCTCCCGACTCGTCAGAGCTCTTTATTCAAACAAGAAAGACGAGGAAATAACCAACGTATATCGCTCTACAGTATATAAAATGTACAGTCACGGGCCTTGTTCACATCAATCACATGCAGACTGGCACAACGGTGCAAACTCGTGTTCAATGGCAATGCAGTAATTAATGCATGAGAACTCTACCAGATCTTACAAGAATCTATCTGTATCAAAGCTTTAAACTGCTATAAACACTGCTATAACTGTGAAACTATTGACATATAAAGCGAAATTATTGAATACTTGCGAAAAGCTGAAAATGACTCATCAGACTCATGAAAAGCAACTTGATCTTGGGAATATTATAAAGTCAAAGGTCAATGAGACTTGTTGTGAAACATGTCACAATTAGGTTGAAATGCGGAAGCGGATGAGGAACGGAGCGGATCCATGGAGCGGATCCACGGAACGGATATGGGGATAAAATACGTCCTTTTAATGATGCAACGTCGTATAGTGCTTATTATTCATAACATATCTTTAATTTAATCCTGTACAGCTACAGGTATTTCAATTAAAGTTGTCACTGAGACAATAGTCAAATGTAATATGGGCGCTAAGAGGATCATGGGAATAATCATAGTTTTAAATAAGTTTAGCATATAAGTAGCATCGTGGGGATGCTTTTAGCGACAGCTCCCAAAGCAAATGTAGTTTTAGAATATGCAAAATTTGGTTGTTGGTGAAACAATTTAAATTTGGAGTTGTCGCGTGTACCATCACAATAAATAAATAAATTGTATCATTTCCATGAGGCACGACATTTTTGACGTGTTAGCCAGTTGTTTCAAACGTCTCGCTATTCATGTGCTGAACGCATTAAAACAATACTGTCAATGGATGAGATGAAATGCCTTTGGTAACTGTTTATTTCGTAGTGTAAGCCATCAGCTTTTCTAGGTTGTCGGCGACCGTATATAGTTCTTGCAGTGTCGTTTTCAATTTGAAACTTCACACTATCCTTGGATCCCTAGTCTCAAGTTCCTTTCACTTCCGTGTTGGGTCAAGACAATAACAAATCAAAAGGACTAATATCTTGCCTACCACTTGACAAATTAAAGGTAAACTGGAATGTATAGAGAATATTTATACATGGTTGTGCGGAAATATGTAATTTATTTCGAGTGTTGAAGAGAATATTGCTAACGAGTGAG